GTGAGAAGCATCTGGGAAGGGACTCACAGGATCATTCGACCCAAGGATCATCTGACCACTGTCTTGGCCTCCCTGCACATCTGGGCTGGGATCCCACAAAGCCATCACTTTTTTGTCCCAACTCAAGAAAAAAGAGTGTTGAAACCAATAATCATTGCCTTGTACTGCCTACTTTGGGGTATTAGCTGCTCAAGTGGGAATTAAAGTCCCACAGGTCCCACTGCCACATTGGTAAGCCTGATATCTGGTCCCAGGTGATACAGGAGAAGGGAGTCTCTGCTCTCCTTTGGAGTTTTGGCCCTCAGCCCAGTCCTTTGCCCACCTGTGGATGCCCAGTGGCCAGCCCTCTGGTATTTCTGCCCCACCCCCAGTCCAGCCCCAGGCAGGCAGTGGTGCCAGCCTCCAGCCCGCACCTGCTTAGAGACTTTGAGCCACGTCTTTTTAAGCCGGAAGATTGCGCTCCGGTTCATGGACGAGGTGATCTCCAGTACAGCGTTGTAGTTGTGTAGGCAGCGGCATATGTCGGCCACAGCCACCCACTTCTCGATGGCGCTCACCCTTGCGTTGATGTCCTCATTGCGGATGATTTCTGAAGCAATCAAGTTACTGATCTTTAAGCCAGTGCAGCAAGACAGGAAAAAAGTAAGAGGAATAAGTATTGCAATGATGACAAATTGTAACTATTTGTAGATATGATTACTAGCTTGAAAATACCAAAGAGTAGCTGGGCTTGGTGGCTCAGCCTGTAATCCCGCGCCTTTGGGAGGCTGAGGTGAGTAGACTGCCTGAGCCTGCGGGTTCGAGACCCCGCCTGGGCAACTTAGTGAGACCTCATCTCTACAATAAATCAAAATGAGCCAGGCGTGGTAGCACACGCCTGTAGTTCCAGCTACTTGGAAGGCTGAGGTGGAAGGATCGCCAGAGCCCAGCAGGTTGAGGCTGTGGTGGCCAGGAGTGGCCACTGCACTCCAGTCTGGGTGACAGAGTGAGACTCCAACTCAAAAAAAAAAAAAAAAATCAACATCATAGAAGAAAAACTATGAAAATGTTCCACGTTAAAGGAGGCCAAAGGAAATGATAACTAAATGCAATACCTGATTTCTAGGTTGGAATCCTATACTGGAAGGAAAAAAGTTTTTAAAGATATACAATCGATTGACAAAATAGTATACAGATGGTAGATTAAAGTACTATATCAAGGATAAATTTACCGAATACAATAGCTATATCATGATCATATAATGGTCATATGTCCTACTCTCAACATATAGACACGGAGGTATTTTAAAGGGAAGGGCCAAGATGTATACATCTTATTCTCAATTTGTGTTTGTATGTATGTGAGGAGAGAGAACACATGAACACATATGATAAAATGAAGAGAATAAAATGTCAATAGGTAAATATGGGTAAATATGGGAATACAGGTATTCTTTGTTACTATTTGATACTATTTTTATTCTTGCAACTCTTCTTTGAGTTTGAAATTATTTCCAAATAAAAAGTTTTTAAAAAGAAAAAAATGGAACTCTACTCTCCTTATCCCTTTCAGCACCAGGAAGATGAGAAAGCAGTGTTCTCTACCCCACCTGCAATGTGCTGGGTTATCTGTTCCTTCTCACTATCTTCCAGCTCTTCCCAGCCTTCCAGCTCTGTGAGGTCCTCAATTTTTTTTGTGGTGGCCCGGGCTCGTTCCAGTTTCTCAAACATGCATTTAATATGGTACCACTCTTTCATATCACCCCCAGACTCTGAGAAGGGATTGGGCACCACTTTGCCAATTCGGCACACGCCTTTCACAATCTTTTCCTTGCATTTTTTGCAGCCAGCTGTACCACGCTTGGCATAGTCCACACAGAATCGTTGCTCAGCCATCTCACAGGGGCCACTGCAGAGTCCCACATGCAACCCTGGCAAGAAAACAAAGCAGGTGGCACGTGATCTCAGATAGCCTTCCTGGAATGATAGAACAGGCTTTTTTCTCTGGAGGAGGCAGCATCCATGAAGCAGATCTGTTTCTGACCACTGGATGAAATGTCTTACATTAGGCCAGTGATGTTGTTCTTGGAATAGGCACAGTTCTTTACGGCTGAGTGCACGGAGGGCTTGTGGAAAGAGGATCTTGAAAGTCAAAGTCATGCAGCTGCACGAAAGGGTGGGAGACAAAAAAAGTGAAATATAAACCAGGAGCTGGACATCCAATTTCCCAAAGGCCAGAGTTTTATACAGTCTATGCTGATTAATCAAACACTTCTTAAAGTATTAAAGATTCATTGTGTATAGGATGAAAAAGAATTTCAAAACAGGAAAATCCAGTTTGCAAAAAGGTGTTCAATACCTAATGTACACACGTACATCTAGTAAATCATAATGAAGGAATATAAATAACAAAAGCTTTTTTCAGGCCATCAGCAATACGTGATACTCATAATAAATGATGACCTTTAAGTATTACAAGATACTAAAGTTTCTTTTTAATAACCAAGAAAAATTACATTATGTTCATAAAGGTTTTTCTCAGTTGGAGTCTCACTCTGTCATCCAGGCTGGAGTACAGTGGCACAATCATGGCTACCGCAGCCTCAACCTGCTGGACTCAGGCAGTCCTTCCACCTCAGCCTTCCAAGTAGCTGGAACTACAGGAGTGCGCCACCACAGCCAGCTAATTTTTTGATTTATTATAGAGATGAGGTCTCGCCAAATTGCCCAGGCTGGTCTCAAAACCCGTGGGTCAGGCAATCCTCTCATCTTGGCCTTCCAAAGTACTGGGATTACAGGTGTGAGCCACTGTGCCTAGCCTACGTTCATAAAGTTTTCTTTTTTTTTTTGAGTTGGAGTCTCACTCTGTCTCCCAGATTGGAGTGCAGTGGCATGCTCCCAACCACCGCAGCCTCGACCTGCTGGGCTCCGGGAATCCTTCCGCCTCAGCCTTCCAAGTAGC